AGCTGTATAGTAATATTTTGCCATTAGAGCACCTGAAGTGTTTTGAATGTAAATTAGAAGTAGCATCTTAGAGTGACCCAAGAGATCTATGAATCAAGAGTTCTGTTCCAAGCCCTGTCTCGGACTTGCTATGAATTTAGGAAAGTCCCTTTACACCTTTTCCTGTTTATCAAAATACTCAAAAGGATGCTGAAGCCTTCAGACGCCTTGCAAAATGTTGACATATTCAGCTAGTAGTTATTAAAAGAAACAAATGACTCCTTTCTTTTTAAAACCTCCTTGTTATATAGGGAGACAAAATATTCTTGGTTTTTCGGGCACTTTTCAGAATGGTGTTTTTGCTGTTGTCATAAGGTGGAACCCAGCGCCTGCCTAGATGTGTTGGAATAGGTCTTGCAAAGGAACTCATTTTCACTGGTAGACAGATTGATGGACAACAAGCCTTCTCAATGGGATTAGTAAATCACACAGTGCCACAAAACAATGAGGGAGATGCAGCTTACCAGAGAGCGTTAACTTTGGCTAAAGAAATCCTTCCTCAGGTAAGTGTATTATTCACGTGGTCAATGTAAAGAAGGCATTTCTGCTTCCCTTAAGAGAGAAAACAAACAACGGAAATTCCTTTCTATGAAATATTAAAGTCTTGGTTCCTGATGTTTAAGTCTCTTAGCTCTGTCCTTTTTTGTAATGCAATTTCTGTAGGAACAAGTGTTAACATCCAGCTGCTTAACCCATAGGGCAGTTTTACCTCCCAGCTGCAGTTATGCAGACCTACAGGACACACTGAAACCTTGCACCGAGTGCATCTATTAACTGTAGATAATGCCAAATTGTTTTTTAAAAATACTAACTTACTGCAAATTTTTATAGACTAAAAGGTCATTTGGAGGTAGGATAATGATCTAACAAGTACACTATTATGAACTGATGTGCTTTAATTACTTCTAAGTGTTTGTTGTGGTTTGTTTTGTTTTTTTTTTAATACAGGCTCCATTTGCTGTGAAAATGGGAAAACTGGCAATAAACAGAGGAATGGAGGTAATTTTTTTAAAAAAAAATAGTGAGGTAAATGAAGCAGATGGGCAGCTCTTACAAATTACTACAGTAAAAACATTTAGAATGGTTGAGTTATAATCCTTGTTCAGACAAGGCATTTAAAACCATTTCAGGGGTTTTAAAGATTTTCTTTAAAGACAAAATTAATACGGCAGGATTTTTTTTCTACAGAAAAAAAAGTAGTTCCAATACAGGAGTGAAGGTCACTCACTACAAGTGAATGTTTATTGATTTGAGGGATATGAAGTAGTTTTGAGAGCTATACTTCAGACAAATCTCACTCCTTCCCTCTCATCCCCAGGTTGACATTGCATCAGGGATGGCCATCGAGGGGATGTGTTATGCCCAGGTAGGTTACCTTCAGAATACATTCCTGAAAGGAACAACTGTACGTTTTCTAAAGCCAGGTATTCACAGCATCCTCTTGTATTTTCCTTTCTATAAGCGAACACTAACAGCTAAATCTAAAGCTTTGAGAACATACTTGAGTACAGTTCCAGATATCTATTTCAGAATATTATTTGTTTTGTCATGCATAGCTACCTCTCTTAGGCTGCCTGAGACCAAAGTCCTTCCTTAAATACCCTTCTGTCTAAAGTAATTGTATATTCTTTGTTTCAACAATATGTTAATTACAGGATGAGGTTTATGAATGGTTTTAGTTTTAACAAATTAAAAAAGAGATTCCTCCTGTTTCTGACAAGTTTTGAGAGCATGCACCTTTCTCAGCTAACGGAACAATGTAACTGCTGTGCCTCTCTGTATTTTAAGATGGTAAAGTATTAAATTTATGGAAAATTGTTTTCCTATATAGTTCTCTGGCCTATGGTCTTTGTCTTAGATGCTTTGCTTATTATTTACACTACAACCCAGTCTCTTTATTTTCCTAATTGCAAAATGTGGAAGGTGGGACTTAATGTATCATTGAAAGAAGAGCAATCTTAGTCTTAGACCACTACTGCCAAGTTAGTCAGTACATAAAAACACATCAGACTTGTTAATGAAAAACATACTACTTTTTTGTTTGTTTGTTTTAAAATGTAGAATATTCCAACAAGAGACCGTCAGGAAGGGATGGCTGCTTTCAGGGAGAAACGACCACCTCAGTTTATCGGCAAATAATGCTTCCTAGCTTCCCCTTGATTCTTCAAGGTAAAGGAGGACTGAAGAGGACCCACTGATTTCTTGGGATTATTTTTATGACTGCATTTTGTGTACTTAGCTCCTTGCCTTGGACTGCATTTCTGAATACTTCACTAGATCATTTTGCTCTAAGAATTCACAAATAAAGATTTAACTTTGTACAGCTGATCTTTTTAAAGACCGTGCATCTTAAGTCAGTGATTATGGCTATCAAACAGATGTCAAGTTAGGAGTATGGAGAAGCTTTGGCTCACTGTAAGGAAATTTAAAAAAAAAAAGGCAGAAAACATGCTGCATCTAAATATTGATAGGAAAAAAAAAATCAGAGGAGAAAGTCAACTTACAAAGAAAGAAGACCTTCCCATTATCAGTGCTCTTCCAACTAATCATTCAGAATTAGCAGTATTAACACAGAGCAATGGCATTTCACCCCAGATCTGTTGTGAATAGTGCAAAACACTGAGCTATTGCTCCAGCCGGCTGAACTTACATCGCTTTGGTATGAGTGCTTGAGAAAACGCATGGCCTGTTATGTGCACATAAATATGGCCACCATATCAATCTATGCCAGACATCTCAAGCATGTCACCTCTCTCCTATCACCTCTTTTCCTCTGTTGCCTGACTGGAAGTTATTTTCTCCCTCTGCTTAGAGGTTTTTCAGCACTGAGATGTGCCACACAATTTAGCTCTATGGCTTCTTACTTCCCTAGACTGGGGCTTTCAAGCAAAAGTGACTTAGTATAGTTAGAGAAATGTATTTTTAGTAAATATTTTATAGGTTATCAAAACATACTTACAAAATGTGGCTTATCACGGTGGAACTGGGCATCACTTCATGCTATGATAGTCTCAAAGCACACCACAATTTCACTTGTGCCAAAAGTTAACCAAACAATTTCTGTGGGTGAGGTAACCTTACCAGATTTTACATGTACAAGTTTCCTATGTAAAGATCTGCAAAGGTAAAGCAGTCATGATCTTCAGCCTTCACAAAAAAAGATGGCAAATGCCACAGGTGAAATACAAGAGTTTAAAAGTTGCTTCCAGAATTATTCTACCCTGGTAGGAACGCCTGAAGCTGCACAGGAATGTGAAGAGACCTTTCTGTAACTGGCACATGCAAGTAAATTTAGTGGACTTATACCTTGTAGGCATTTATACTTTCCAGCTTAAAAGAATTCTGCTCACTGTTTGTTTGCCTGAAGCCTGTGGGAACAAAACAAGAAGGGTATGGAAAATCATGTACAATCTCTGTGCTTGCTGGTTGCAGAACTTCATGAAGTGACATCTTCACCATCTGGACTGATGCCAGTATCACATTCATTTTGTGCTGCATGTAGTAGTAGGTTTTTTCTCCCCACAGTTTTAGTTAAGATGCTTCAGCAAGTTCTCCTGTTACTAGGAAAAACCAATACTGTAAGGAGAGTTGTCATATTTATTTTAAAATCTTAGCAATTGATTTCTATTCATTCTATTAACACCAATTTTGACAAGTTGTGTGTTCTATTTCATGTAACGGAAATTTCGTAGCCAAAGTACCATAGCAGATATCACAGAGGGTGGTGGGTAAAGGCTTGCAGGGCATTTTTCATTTTTTAAACCACCTTCATAATTCAGAGCTACAACCAATTTAATTTCTTTCCACATCAAGAAAACTTGATATAACCAGATACACACATGAAAATGATGCTAGCCAAATTATACCTTTGTACAAAAAGCAATTACACAGCATTGATTAAATTACTGGATCAGTACCTTTTGAAGTTGCTGAAATACACAATAACTAGATTATTGAAGATTAGAGGTGATGTTTTTATTTGAAGGATGGGAGTTGGGAAAGGGAAGGAGTTAAAAATAGTAAAATATGGTCATCATGAAGAAGCCATCCCTGCTAGTAAGCTACCAAACATAAGTTTTCTTTTTAAACTCAATTACCGATATATTTACAGAAGAGTCTCTGAATATCGATCAGTTGCCATGGAAATATGGAGACTAACCAGATAAACAAAAACAATACCTGAAATAAAACTGAATTTGAACATGCAGTTTGCTTCCACCACTTGTATTTTATCAGGCATCTGTATGCTGTGCAATATGTTTCATTCAACACATCATTTGAAACCCATAGGTAATCAAGAAAGAAGTAAGTTGTTACAATTAGCATCTTTATGTAAAATTTCACACTCCACAAAACAATGCAATTGACACAGGGCTTACATAGAACATTGGGTGATATTTTGCATTGTGATGACTTGGAAATATAATTCACTGCACAATACTGACAGAATATTTACAGAAAACAACAGAGCAATCATTAGTCTCTTATAAATAAGGTGACCAAATAGCCTGGGCCTCCTATCAAGACATGCAATCCCCTCCATGATGAAGACAAGTCAGTATTTTGCTCTAATGAGCCTTCTCCTTTCCCTATCAGTATTCTAAAAACAAAAGAAAGATGTCGCACACAATCAAAAGTAGTCAAACAACAACAAAAACCCCTTCTTGTTATCAAGTTTAAAATCTCAAGCTTAGCTCATCCTTTTAGTATTGTGTCTCCTTTTAATCCTGTTTCTATTGCTTTACTTTCCCCTTTTCCCTGATGCAATGCCGATCCCCACCTTAAGAGCAGGGAGGACTCAGGAGAGCTGAACTGCAAAAAGGCATTGTTCTAGCAGTAAGGAAAACAAAAGAACACAGCTTGCAGGCAAAAGGAAAAGGAAGTTGAAGACCCCATTTGTGTTCAGAAGGGTTATGAGAACGGACATTTTGGTCGCCTTAGTTACAAGTCTCATCGTAACCTGCATGCATGTACTTTTGTTTTAATCTGTAAAAGTGTCGAATCTCACAACCACACACAGTTCTATTCAAACACCAAATGGGTAAACAGTGTTATGAACAGCAATCATAGGGATGAAACAACTTTCTCTCCCAGAAGTCACAAAACAAGATATTCCTAGTCTTTTTTTCAGATGTGCATATTGATCTGTACAAGTCCCATCTCTTTGTAGCCAGCAGTAATCCTACAGGTATGACCAGCCCAAGCAGTGACCCTTTACAAGTTGCATATGCGGTTGCCATTAAAGTTGACATTCACCAAAGGTTACTGTACATGGTTCTGGGTACCACAATTATCGGCAAAATCACTTTAATGGTGACCACTATATTACAAGTTACTCCAACTACACACACATCAGAAAGGATTATTACAGAGACAATACTTTACACTCCTATACCTGCAGCTTTCAGTTTGGTTTACTTTGTTGCTGTGTTCTACATGGAGGTGGTCTCCCATGACGCATAATGTGTTTTTCCAAACTATCCAGGATGGCAATAGCAATCCTTTGGACGTGTGGATCAGTCTGGACATTTTCCTTGATGTTGTATAAGTGCTGTAAACCACCTTCTTCAATTAACATGCTGCAGTACCTGGCAGCTGTAATAAGATTAAAAAAAGGGAATTAAAAAAAAAAAAAAGTACCTAGGGTAAATGTAGCAGATACTGTAAACACCAACTGAAAGCCACTTTCGTCTCCTAGACCAGGCAGCATTTAGGACACTCCCTGAAGTGTCTACAGAAGTGCATTTGTACTTTCACAAGTGACAACAGAACAACAGAGTTGTTTGGACAGGACTACGATTGTAATCAGGTCTGTTTCCATGTCTGTCTTAGCTGACTGGGAAGTGCCTTGTAATATGCACAGCATTCTCTCTCGCCCCTACCTCCTCTACAGGCATTTTAAGTGCACATATATAAATTTTAAGAAATGGGAATCAGAAGTACTATAGTATCTATGACTGCCCAAGTAAAAATACCACCTTTACCAAAAACCTCGGTACAGAACAGTTACCAAAAAATGGTATCAGATACACCACATCATTTGTACAGGCTTGTAGAGTGAATAGGAACTAGTTCCTTCAAAAACAGTTTGCCAAATACTATTGATGGTGGCCTTTAACTAGTTGTAAGTTGCTATGAATGCCTCTTCAGGGATAAAATTATACCTTCCACTTTCATTATCAATTTTAAAAAGTTGAAAGCGCACCTACATCAGCTCCAGTGTTATTACGTGCAGGGACCACCTATAAAAAAAGCTATATGTTTAAAGTAACATGCAAGCTTCAGAAGTTGTTATAAAAAGGTCAGGATGACTGCAATGCAATCCACAGAGCATTACCTCAGATGTGCCCAATTTCACCATTCGTCTCAGTGAAGCAACACCAGAGTTGTTTAAATGCTGACATTAAGCATTTCACTGGGGATCATATTTACTGCAGTGCTACTAACTGCTAGTTAAGTTAGCTCATTGTGGTGGATATGATATAGAGAAACAGCAAAAGGAGAAAAAAGTAAACAAGAAAACAAATCAAACCCATTAATTCCAGACTACTTTTCACCCTCATCTAAAAGAGGAGGTCAAAATAAAATCCAGGACAAAAAGCCTTCTTGGTGCCAAGCACCAAAAGCTTAAGATTTTCCACCCAAATAAATCTCCATATTTCAGAATTAAACACATTTTCCTCTCAGAGTAGGTTATTACATTTGCTACCAAACATTTGGTTTCTCTGCAACTTTGTCCAACTTTTCTGGCACCAACTACTATCAGAACTAAACTTCAGGAATACTGTCTTGATCTCAAATCAGGAGTACGCCGTCCAAGTATTTCCAGCCTCTCCGTTCTACAGAGCAGTTACTGTCAATACAAACCTCTGTGGCATGTTGAAAGCCCAGAGGTTAGGGCAGCACAAAATAAACGCTAAAAATAAATAGAACAAATAGGACCATACTAAGTTAACAGGGCTGAGGCACAAAGAATGCTTTGATTTCATTAATACAGAATTACAGGGTCTTAATCAAAAACTGTTATCCAGAGTCTGACCAGTAAAACAACTTAGGACGAGAGGAAATGGCCTCAAGTTGCGCCAGGGGAGGTTTAGATTGGACGTTAGGAAAAATTTCTTTACTGAAAGAGTGGTCAGGCCTTGGAACAGGCTGCCCAGGAAGTGGTGGAGTCACCATCCCTGGAAGTATTTAAAAGACATGTAGATGAGGCGCTTAGGGACATGGTTTAGTGGGTATGGTGGTGTTGGGTTGACGGTTGGACTCGATGATCTTAGAGGTCTTTTCCAACCTTAATGATTCTATGATTCTATGAACTTTGTCATAACAGTCCTACTTCAACATGGGAAAAGTCTTCACAGATCTCTGGACAGTGTAACCTGGGAACAGTGTCTCATTACAGTTATGACCTCTATAAAGAGTAGGAAAACAGTACTTTATGTGCAATTATATATTATGCCATGTTATTCTTTGGTCCTGAACAGATGTCTTTTCACTGTAGAAATAGTGATTTATGGGACAGGGATAAACATAGATATACCACTGTCAAGAAGATTAAAAAACTGGCAAAAAAAAAACTTTTAATACTTTACAGGAAAGCTGCTTTATATCTGGTACAAGTGAATGACAATACACACATTCACATCATACAAATTTATGTCAAAAAATAAAGGCATTAAAAGCCAGGAAGGTTTGTCCAGTCTTACATTTAGGTATGCTCAGGGGATTTATTTCCTTTCCCAACACTTGTGCATTTCATCACATGATCTCAAATCATTTTACAAACAAGAGGTTGGTGTTCTCATTTTGCAGATGGGAAAGATAGATTAAGAAACTGACCTTCACATCACAGCAAGTTATTGCAAAAAGGCAATTAGAGACGAGGATTACCTAAAACTTCTGTTCTGATAGTAAGAGAGAGCTACCTGCTATCATTGTTCTTAATTTAGAAGAAATTTGTTGCTCATTATTAGTATTTACATTTCTAAATAAAAACACCTGTGCAAGCCAAAAATGTAGTTAATCTTAACACATGTCCACATTTTGGAATTAATACTGTGCATTTAACAGTAAAATTCCAGTAAATAAAAAGGACATAAAGAACTTTTATTACTCTCTTTTTCTGCCCCATTTAGTCAAAGCCTAAATGTAGTTTCTCCAGAGGATAAGGAGTGAATACTCTAGGAATTCTTATTTTTCCTACTTGATGCTAGTGAATAATATGCTAAGAAATAAGAATTTTAAGGGTAATATTATCTTAATACATACGATTTTTGCTGCAGACGTGCTGCATGGCCCACACTGCCCACAACTGGACACCAGGTGTCATGAAACAGCCAAGTAGCGGAAAAAACGGATTGAAAGACCTATAAAAAAGGAAAGGAACAGCAAGTCGCTTTACTACTAGATATTATGACTTCAGAGGTCACATGTTGTCTACTTTTTCAGCTACAGGTTTAGCTAGGAGAGACACTTGATAAACTAGAGTTTTAGATGCAGCAGGCAAGCCTTTTAATGTTTAAGACAATTTCTAGCAAAAATCATATATAGTGGGTATGTGGTATGCCTTTACCATAGCAGTTGGATGCCTCCTGCTCCTTAAAAACAGGAGTAAAAACAGTGGAAATTACAAGGATTATCTGGACGGTAATTATCTAATTGTACTTTTTGGCCTAAAGCTTCTTTATCTAGGACAGATAGAGCTAGCCTAGTGCTAGCCAATATAACCTTACCGGTCAATCTTTGTGTCTAAGTCTTTTAGACATGCAGATGAATACCTTTAATAGAAAAGCAGGCAGAACAACATTATATCTTTTTTTTACAGGAGTCCCTAACCTACTTCGGTCACAAAGGGAAAATAACACGCTGTATATTTTAAGCCGATAGGTGTTTTTCCACTAGACAAAACCATGTCTGGCTAGCAGCTCACTCTGCTTTGGGAACAAGTTTTAAATTTAGTTCAGTTTATTTTCCAAACTCTAAATCAAGACAATAGTTACCTGTAAGCCACCATCTCACATTCTGGGGTTGGCCAATTCAAAATGGCAGAATGCTGCAAAAGACAGAACCGAGAACACTCATTGTTAAATACAAACATTAAAAAAATATTAAAGAGTATAATAAAATTCACCATCATTTCTGTACCAGCTGTTCAAGGAGAGATGTCCTCTGGCTGCGACTTAATGTCCAGGCCTGCTCTCCTCGAGATATCAAATGAGCGATAATCCCTGCTGCAAAGTAGCTAACTTCCACCTCCACACTGTGCAATAATTTACTAATGTGGTCTATAAAGTCCTTCCACATCAATTCAGAATGGAGTTCTTTAACTTCAGCTATGTTATTCTGGATGGGGGAGAAAAAAAGAAAAGAGAAAATATCAACAGAAAAAATAGGATATGAGGGAGATAAACATATAAACTTGAACTACATTGTGTAAGTAAACACATATAAACACCAGGATGAGATCTTCATACATCTACAGGTGACCACCAGATGCCAAAATACTACTTTTGCTTTTGAAAACTTTGAGTCTAATGCAAAAATTTGCCTCAAAACAAAGAGGTTTTCTCATAAGTAATTTTAGGTCATTAGCATGCAGATTACAGTAAATTAAAGGCTAGTTTTAACATTCTCAAATACACTCAATTTCAGTAAACTTCAGCAGTGCACAATTCTGCATTCCATTGATTTTCAACCTACTTTTTGCATTTGGACTCATCTGAAGCCTCACGCACTGCACTTTCTTAAAAGCTCTTTTTTTTACTGAAACCATCAATTTCAATATAACTAGTGCTTTTGGAGAACTGGTAGAACAGTCCAAAACAATGTCAATTGTGAATAATGCACACTATAAAGATTAAAGAAGAACAGAAAAATATCAAGCAAGTTTTCAGATTAACATGGGGTT